GACTCTAGTATTTTGTTAACACATTTAAGATGAAAGCTTGGTCTGAATGGAACTGCTCTTTCGTGGTTATGCTATTAACTATCTAGAAGAACACAAAGAATGTCGGTTCAAGGAGCCCTTTCACATGTATTTCATCTTCATTACGCCATTCCCCAGGGATCTTGTCTAGGTCCCCTTCTGATAAACATATATTCAAGCAAAATCTTTGACATTGTTGGTCATCACCTTCCAAAAGTTCCTTGTTATGCTGATAACTTTTAGCTTTATTTATTGTTCAACCCAAGCTGTGCTTTTAGTCAAGATAAGGCAATTAGATCAATGGAAACCTGTATCTAAGAAGTTAAGCAGTGGATGACCTCAGACCAACTTATGCTTAATGACGACAAACCTGAATTTATTGTAATAGCATCGCGACATCTATTAAAAAAAGGCTGCTGTTGACACTATCAGGGCAGGAGATTGCAATGTAAGCACAGTGTCTGTAGGGCGGAATTTGGGTGTGTGGTTCGATGAAAAACTTACTATGCACACATTACCAAAATATGCAGTGCTGCTTTCCATCACTTGCACAACATAAGATGCATAAGGAAATACCTTTCAGTGGATGCAGCTGCGATTCAAATCCACTCTTTTGTTAGTAGCAGAATAGGCTACTGTAATAGTCTATTATATGGTGTGCCCAAGTGCCACATTGACAAGTTGCAGAGAGTTCAAAACGCAGCCGCCAGACTTGTCGTTATGCAGGGCAAATTTTGCCATCTTACCCCAATGCTCCATCAGCTGCATTGGCCTCCTGTCTCATTTCGTATTAATTTTAAGATTTTACCTTTAACTTTCAAAGCCATTTATGAATTAGCACCGTCTTATGTCAAGGAATTTGTCAAAATTAAGCCTTTACACTTAAGATACAGGCTGCAATCTAATGACAGAATGCTGCTGTCTCATCGAATTTTAAAACTTTAACAACCCTCAGCGACCATGCTTTTGTTGCTTCAGCGGCTAACCTTTGGAACAATTCATCTCTAGAAATTAGATGTCTGTACTTATAGGTATTATGGATCTTGATTGGCAACGTATCCGCCACATGGCAAAGTGGATTTGTATTTTCAGTTTTGAAATACGATGTGATCATCTTGTATCTATCAGATGTTTCAAGAAGAACAGACTTTCTGAAGACCATGCGCACTTGCTAGTGTGTAGCAACGTTTCCAGAAAGCGCTTATGACTATACCGTGACACATACTCACTCCGGAGAAATGGCAGCAGGGGAGATATCATAAACTCTTTTCTCTCCCTTTTTGAGACATTTTCCCTTTTTTATAGTACTTAATTGACATAATTCCTAAAATACTGTATCCGTTTTTCTCCCGTCCGCATCGAGGACGACACTCAGTCTAGGGGGGAGGAATCTAATGAGGTAGCTGCCTTTAGTTTCCTTTTTCAGCTTTGCTATTTTAAAGGTTTTGCTAGCTTTATGATAAAAATTTAATAGTATGAAGAGATTCAATGTTTTCCCCACATGGCTAGTTCTTGAATTTTTGTCTAGCATTGTCCATTTGAAGTGTTTGTTAAGCTTAGTTTTGGTCCTTTGAAGTAGGCTTGTTCGGGGAGTACAGCTGACCTTGAGTTTTGCCCACAATCGAGTTCCTGTTTTGTATGTTTGGTCCTTTCAGGCAGTTTCACTGTAAGCATTTAACTGGTTCTTTGGTACTTATCGGTTGCGGCTGTGTAGGCTGATCTAACAATGGCAAACCTGTTGCAATATATGCGATAAGACATTCAATATAAGCTCTCCCGGTCAGCTAACCCACAATAAGTCTACAATTTGGCTATTTAATCCGCTGCGTTAGCTAGCAGAATGAGTAGGGTTGTTGTCAGTAGCTGTAGAGTATTAAACTGTTATCTTAAGGAGACAGAACAGAGTCTTGGTCCTCTCCTTACAAAACCTAGCAAGCTTCTCCAGGTCTCAACAATAGGATAGAAAACATTTACTAGTAGTAGTTTATATGCAGTAGTTTTATAGTTAATAGTTTATACTAATACCAGTAGACATTATCTAACTGTTGCTAAAAGAGCATACAGATATTCCATTCACTCCATATAGTATTAGATGCGTTGTTCAGTTCCATAGCAGCTAATTCAGAAATGTGATTACAATACTTGTGTGTCCAGTTATGTCACTATCCAGCGATAGTGATGACAAAGAAAGCGAATCAGATTCTGATTCAGGTTATGAAGATGAGCACAGTAAGGAAGATGGACATGATCATCGAGCTAATGACATCACACACAATGAAGAAGAAATTTACTGTATGGAAAAAGATCATTACAAAATTTGTTTCAAAGGATGTTTTTTACCAAGATTTGCACAGTTCTACAAACAAAGCCGACTGGAAATATGATTCAGATGATGACATTGGATTGGATGTGTTATGCCTTAAAGAAGAGCAAGATCAAAAAGGGATTTAGATGAAAACTTTCCTTGGATCTGTTCTCTTACAGGAAAGTACAGAGTCGGAAGTTTGTTATATGGTGCATATGAGATGGATTTGGGGTGTGACTCAGGCAGAGATTTAAAATGGAGGCAATCAAATGACCGTCCGTTTGAGTTCTTGATTGACAGTGGCTATTCAAAACCTCTCAGATGCTACAAGGGACTGGCAAAGTACGTTCACTGTCAACAGGCTTCACTATATCAAGGTTATTTTCAATATATTTTATCATCATTGGTGGAAAGACGGTCATTTCTTGTACTGAGGTTAGTTATATCGGAGTTCATTGTGACAAGGTACCACTATACATTGATCAGGGTGTTGACTTTCCCGATCCAATCAATATTATGAAAACCAAAGCATTACACTGAATTTCCTAACCCTACATAACTAAGAGTACCACAAACACGCTGGGACCAACTTACAAGTATAAAGTTCATGATAAGAGGTTGTGTTAAGAAGTGTAGAAAAAGTGTCATAGTATGAGTAATGGCAGGTAAGACGGACAAAAACTGAGTGATGCACAACTTCACTGGCTTGGATCTTCTTTTTCTACTTTTTCGTTGTTTCGAATTTTAGGTTCTTTAATCTTAAAACATACTTTGCAACCGGTCAAAGAACACCAACAAGTGTGTGGTCAGGACGGTATACAAGGTCTGTTGGCAAAGAATTAGTTCACAAGGTTTGTCAAGACCATGGCAGACAGTATGCCAAACAAACAAAAGTACTCTCGTTATTGTGTTGGAAAAAAGATAAAATATACCAGATGTATCTGAAGGAGATGGAGAAGATATACCACGCAAAAAACAAGCCTTGGGTACAGGTAGTTTCGAAAACGAAGCACTCGAAAATGAAGACCGAAGCACAAAGCACCCAAATCTCGAAAACGAAGCACCCAAAACTCGAAAACGAAGCACCCTCGATCGAAAACGAAGACCCCTAAATCTCGAAAACGAAGCACCCTAGATCGAAAACGAAGCACCCAAATCTCGAAAACGAAGACCCCAAAACTCGAAAACGAAGCACCTGAATCAGGTGGATGCAGCGGATGCGTCCACACCTCCAAGGGTCCACAAAATCCATCCCAAGGTTTTATAAGAGCCTGCCAACTGTTTAACTGAATTTTTCTAGATAGGATATACTGTATTAATTTTATTATTGGTCTCACTATACTTGATACATCTTACCTTAATATGCATTTTTTCGGTACACATACATGTTTATGTAGACTTCAAAACTGTCCGTCAGCAGATTTTGGAGTATTCAAGTACGTGTGAGCAGTAACACAAAAGGTCTGAAACGAGGCTGAAAACGGAGTGTGAGGCTCGCGCGTATTACTCTTACGCCACGCTTTACCGACTTCTTTACTGATTTTGAGAAAAAAAACCGATTGTTTTGCAGTCTAACATATTGGATATGCAGGAGGTTACGCCCCCTCCCGATCGCAAAATTATCAAACTTCTAACATTTGTTCTCTTGTTTTCGCCGCTTCGATATCGTTAAGACTCATAATGACGATGGCTACCACGTTTTCCCGCCAAAATGACGCTGGTTCGCGCGCGAGCACCACTTAGTACTAAGAAAATCTCGTACTCGTCTTAAAATCTAAAGCTCTCTATCAACGACTCAAGCCTGCGAATTTAACTGGCTTTTACTGGCAATACAGTAACATTCTAGAAATAGTTTGGGCGTTATCGGTTTTCTGATCACGTCCAAAACATGGCCTCCCACCGGGCCTCCCACGCAGCGGCGGAAATGCATTTACAACTTGAGTAGATTTGAACTGCATTCGATTCGTTATCGTGCTTGATTCCTGCTGTATTAGCATTGGTCTTGTGTTTATAAAGGACAGACTGGTGTCGAATTTTTGGGTGCTTCGTTTTCCAGTTTTGGGTGCTTCGTTTTCGAGATTTAGGGGTCTTCGTTTTCGAGTTTGGGTGCTTCGTTTTTGATCTAGGGTGCTTCATTTTCGAGTTTTGGGTGCTTCGTTTTTGAGATTTGGGTGCTTCGTGCTTCGGCCTTCGTTTTCGAGTGCTTCGTTTTCGAAACTACCCTTAGGTACACTCAGTTCTGAAGTATGTGAAATTTAGATTTTACAGATGTTATCATACTAAAGAAATTGTCATCCTACTTGTATGACAGGATTTACAGGAATGGAAATAAATGAGAATAATGGCTCTTGGTGTCCACTCTACCAAGACGTACAGTCAACTCCCTGATAACCCAGAACTTCAAGGGAAATCAGAAAAATAGACTTATCAGGAGTTTGAGTGATTGGGAGATCGAAGCAAAAAACTAAAGATACGGAGATCAAATAGGGGAGGAATGCAAGTATGATACACACTTCGTGTGAAGAGTTCATCGAACTCGAACTGGAGGTTTCTGACCCCTAAAAGTGCGAAGAAGCGGTACTGTAACTTAATGAGAGATGCACGATGTCTGGCAAAGGAAGTAGAAAAGCTTAACAAGAAGATATGAGTCTTGCTTTCCACGGACTCATCACATCAAATGGAAATCATCACGAAAAAGATCTCATCAGAGTTACAGAATGAGCTGGATCAAATTTTTGAGGAAGCGAAGGGAAGTGGAGATTTGTTGAAACGAATATGGCAACAGGATCTGGACGAGAGAAAAGCATTTTGGAAAGACCAAAATCGCAATGGTAGGCATTAAAAATTTAATTTAGATTGTTCTTTTAAACAAATCAAAATAAGATTTTCTTGCATACTATTTGTGAATTCCTAAATGAACTGTTTGTTATTACCATTTTGGTCATGCAACGTTACGTTATGCCAAATTATTCCTGTCACCAGAAGCATATACATGTAATAAGCTTCTTAATCACGCATTTAGAAAATCTCGAATTATAGTATTGTTCATTTGTTTATGTAGTTTTTCAAGTCAAATACACCCCCTATGATTGTGTTTTTGGAGATGCCATGTTATGCCAATAAATGTAACTTTTGTTGATGTCACGCACTCAAACTAAAGAAAAAAACTACTTTCTTTTAAAAGAAACGTTAAGGCTTTATACCAAAGGAAGGAACAGCGACAGGGTTATTTCATTGTTTTCTTGTAGTCGACCTTGTTTTGGTGTTTTTGTTTATGTACAGGGAAGGGTAGAACAAGGAACAGATGGTCTGCTATCACATACAGGATTGCACTTGCGATATCTACCAGAAGTCCAGCAGCTTATGAGGCATTAATAAGTTACCAAATTTTAAAGCTACCATCAGTAGCATCACTGAAGCATTTTACGTCAGCAAATAAACAGCCCACTGTTTAAACCTTCCCCACCTTCATGATGCTAATCAGGCCTATGTTGCGTACAAGGAAGAACGGAAAGAACAAGGGTTTTTAGAGCCCGAGGAGTATGGTGGTCTAATATTTGATGAAGTGAAAGTGGTGATGAAAGTACACTGGAATAGTGCAGAAAATGGGTAAGAAATATGCAAGACCATATTGCAATTTGGCTTTACTGCAACTCACTTACATTATTTTTGCTGCCTGTATTGTTTCATTTACAGTGGCATCAGCTGGGTTGAGCCCAAGGGGCCACACAGGCTTTGGCCACTTAACCATGCAGGAACCTGTTGCCCCAAAATAAAATCTTACCCAGAGAAAAGTTTATTGATTCACTTGGTCATCAGGTTCTAGGACTACCACCCCCTGCCCATCAAGTCTACCAAAAAAACGTTCTGTTACTCCAGCCTAAATATGTTTCTATGTCCTTCACATATTTGCCTTCAACATAAATCTGAATTTTAGCAAGTTATTTCAAAATAACTTCCTGAACGCATTGTTATTTTTGTATATTTTGACCGTTGTCTGAGACATTCTGTTTTCATTCTCTTCTCTTATAAGGATCGGTCAATAAGGATCTTTATGTATGACAAACAGTAAAAAAACTTGCAAAAAATAGAACTTATACCACTAATGATATATTAACAGTAATAATGAAATAGTAATTATGATTAATAATAATAATTAGAATAATAATAAAACATCACATCCAGCTTTAGTTTGAATTCAAACTCTTATAATAATATGACCATTATTGTATGGCCCCTGCAGTATAATGTTGATGTACTTTAATTTTCATTTTCAATTATATAGGTTTACAGGACTTTCCATGACAGCCAATGACATGGCAACCCTACAAGATGTTTATGAAGAACTGAAAGCCCCACAGACAGTAAAAGCATCTTACATCATGCAGTTCCTTTGGCGTGACTTGACAAGTGATTTTGATGTCATTGGCCCATACTTTAGCAGTAACAAGGGGATGTAGTGCAAGTTTGTCATTTCATGCCTTATGACAACAATTCAGGCATTCCATATTTTTGTTTTTAAATCCATGGCAGTGGTTTGTGATGGTGCCAGCACAAATTTAAAGGCAATCAAGTACCTCACCACAGGAAAAAGTGGGGCATACGGTATAAACAAGGATCTCCATGCAGAAGAGCCACATCATGTGAACACATGGATGCTAAATCCATGGACCAATGAAAAGCTATTTTTCATTCCCTGTCCATCATATCAGGCTACTATGTTAAATTGTATTTCAACTCAATTTTTTTGGCAACGCAACTTAAATTTGCATTGTGCTCTTGCATAATAATAATAATGTATTTTCAGGCTTGAGTGTTTGTAACTTTTCACATGGAGAGGAATAAACCTTCATCTCTTCAGCATAAGAAGAACCAAAAACTATTTTTATTTTAAATATTGAGTTTGACTGGTATTTTTAATAGAATCTAGAGGGATCCTTAAAGTTGACAAACCTGATGTCTAGGATGTTATTTTGTACATGCATACATTATACGTATGCTGATATAATGCCGTATGCTGATTCCCCTAATGTTTTGTGGAAGCTAGTTCAAAGGAAGACCTACAGCTTCTTGTTATTCCCAAATACATTTGATGACGTTACTCAGATCTCAATTACTGTAATAACAAACCTATTTTCCTTTAAGTTGAAAAGTCTCATAGCAGCACTACACTCCTCTCATAGAGTAAATTAATGGTACCCAAAGAAAAGATTTTGACCTCTACGAAGTTAACTTTGGATGGCAAGTGTTGAAAGATTTGTGGCAGAGGGAAATGACAAGGGCTAAAAATGGTAAAATGAGACAGGTGCCACAGCTGTGTTATCGTCACATTTACAGAGACTGCTGGACAAGACTTAATGTGAAACCAGCAAAAATCATGCAGGTTGGTGTTCCTCTTTTTTAAGTCATGAAGTGGAGAAACTACAATAGCTTGGCCAACAGCTGTATACATTATGTAGTGTGCATGTAGTTGCAGTTTTTTACGTTTTAAGATGGAATCCATCAGAAAATTGAGTAATTTTAATTTTCAGTGGACAAAAATGTTGTACCAGAATAATTTTAATTCTTTTTTACATTTTTCAAAGGCTATAGATATAATTAGTTATCTGTAAATTATAACACTAAGGAATATTTCTCATGTGAGCCTGAGAAAACAAGTGTAAAATTTCACAAGAATTGTGAAAACACAGGTAAAATTCTGAAAATTTTTATGTGTAAGATGTCATTTTGTAAAAGTTGATTTTTATTTTCTCGGGCTCCCATAAGAAATTTTCTTTGGTGTTATTACCAATAACGAATTTCATCTTTAGCCCTTGAAAAATGTAAAAGAGAATGCAATATGCTTTAAATTATTCTGGTACAAGGCTTTTGTCCACTGAAAATTATAATTACTCTATTTCCTGATGAATTCCGTCGTAAGGTCTACATACATCAAAGTAAGATCCCTTTCTCAGCCAGTCTGTTAAAGTTAAAAATTATAGTTAATGAGCAAAATGAAAAAGTCATTTATTACAAGGCCCTGTCTATTTAGTGAATATTTATACATTTATTTTATTTTAATGTCATTTTGAAGCAAAATTAAGTCATTGCGGAGCTTTCTGAAAACATGGAGAATAATCCAGCGCATGCCAAAAAAGTTGGCAAAGTCACTGAATACCTGGATGCTTGCCGTCACTTGTTTGAGAGAGGCATACTGAGACACCAGAAGATTACTAACGAAGAGAGCAGTGTTTTGCAAAATATGTCAGTTGGATACGTCTTCTTTGTTGGCTGGGCTGACTATGCCATGGAAAAAGGTATGCACTACTACCTGTACTTGTTTGGTAGGTTTTTCAGAATATTTCAAATGCCTCGAGGACTTTAAAAATTTTTTCTCATTAAAAAAAAATTTTTTTACAATCCTTTTCACTAATCCTGGAAAGATATACACAGTCTGTTAAAGATGTTGTCTAATTATATTTAGTAACAAGGCTGTATATATGTTTTTTTTGTCAACATGTATTTTATATTAATTTACAAATAATTAGTGTGTTGCTTTCTCTTGATTATGTTTGCAGAACCTAACTTAACTTCATCAAGTCAAAAAGGGTTTCTTGCATGGCAGGTAAGTTGCTGCATGGCTGTACTTTTGGTTTCCAGTAGCCTGCGCAGCAGGTGTAGTAGAAACGGGTAGGGATTGGGAGAAAGGGAAAAAGGAAGAGGGATTGGGCAGAGAGGGTAAGAGACCTGTTTCCTTTTTCATGCTTACCTCCCTCATCCCCCCTTCCTACTCTTTCTGTGCCTGCTACACAGGCTAGGTTTGTAACAAAATATTTTCATATAACATACGGACAGGTCTTTTTGTCTTGACTGTATGTTTATTGTCAGGTGAGAGAATGTCTCCCTCAAAAAACTGATCCCTTGGTTGTATTGTATATGTTGCAGTTATTTTTTAACTTGGTATGGTAATGTATGCTAATGAATTTTAAAGACTCACTCATTATGTGCGAGCAGGACATTTCATTTTTAATTTGCATTGATATGTTTTCTATTTTCAATTTGCAGCACAATTTTTAGTTTGCATGTACTATATTTAATTTGCAGGTAATATTTACCGGGGCCTGGCACCAGTCATAAAATGCAACACGTTTCTGTCTTTTTAAAAGTTACATTGTACGTTGTTGTTATTTCAACGATTCACGTACCTGCCTTCAAAGCTCCATCGCTATGTTAATAAGGTGAGAAAACTTTATCATGCACAATGTAAATGTAATAACAAACAGGATCCAAAGATAATTAACTTCGATAAAATGGCTATACCCAAGAGAGCTTATTTGTTGTCTTTCTGTACTAGCAGGCAGTATCACAGGATAATGAAACTAAAATGTAAAGCACGTCGATATTTATCATTGTTCTCTTGCAATTGTGTGAGTCATATGACCAATTATGTGAATTTCAAACTAAGTAAAGATGTTGAGAAGAATCCAGGACCTACTCAATACAACACTGATCATCATGAAGTAATAATTAGACCTTTTATGTAAAATCACACCTCAACAATGCAGTTAATTCATGTGATGTTTACCTGTTTCGCTATATACCCGCAAAAACTTCAGATTTCTAAATATTGAACTTTAATGCATTTTCACTGGTATTGCCTATATAACTACATGAATGGAGGATGAACAAGGCAGTAATTCGGTTATGTTTTTCAAGGCCATTTTTATTAACAAAGTATTCTTGTACGTAGGACTCTAAATTCACTGTGTAGGGGGACAGATTCTTATCCTACAAACTGTCACCTTACAATTTAAACCGTTTAATGACATTGGTTAAATGTCCTTTAATTGATGTGATGTTTGCCTATTTTGTTATATACCCGCGAAAACTTCAGATTTCTAAACACTGAACTTCAATGCATTTTCACTGCTATTGCGTATACAACTACATGAATGGAGGATGAACAACGCAGTAATTCGGTCATGTTTTTCAAGGCCATTTTTATTAAAGTATTCTTGTACGTAGGACTCTAAATTCACAGTGAAAGGGGACAGATTCTTATCCTACAAACTGTCACCTTACAATTAGAACTGTTCAACAACACTAGTTAATTGCCTTTTTATTCAATGTTGTTAATGGGCTGCAGTTCCCGAGCTAATAATATGATCCTGCAGTTGATTACCCTGTTTCTAAGAGGTAAGGTTGAAAAGAAACCAATCAAAATCAAGGATTTTCAATCCTACATTCTACTATAAAAGTGTGTTCAGAAAACTTAACCGCCATTTTCCAACCAACATCTGTCGTGTTCAGTTGGCCACGCCTAACCAGAAAGGTACAACGTCAGATCCTTCCCAAAATTCGACAGAAACGCTCAAAAAGATCTCTTCAACTACTTCAGTGGATAAACAATCTTCTGCAACATCTATCAAACGGCCATTGACTACACAGAAATGGAAAGCACCAGGAGACACTTTCGAGCCGAAAGTCACGCTGGTCGAAGAAACCACCATCAGATATGTCCACGACCTATCCCATCCCAGAAGAAACAGGGGAAATACTCTGGATTACTGCACCTTTCTATTCCAAACAGCGACAAAGAACGTATGTTGCAACTTTCTTAGATTGTTTCTTATACCTACCAGTTTTGACGTTCTCAATGTGAGATCCCCAAATATCTATGGGAATCCTCCCAGATCCATCGTCAAGGAACGCTTCCATAAGCCTAAGTTTTTTGCTGGGACTTCCAACTATACGCTGGTCTTTGAAATCCAAAATATTGCCTTAAACTGTGACAACTTCCCATTCTTTAAAAGTACTAAGCACATCTAACACTTTGACATTTGCCGCGTGAGGTTCTGTAGGGGTTTGATGTTCAAATGAATAGTCACTTTGTTGTGGAGTACTAACGTTAGTCATGTCATTGACGATAATTTTATCTCTCGCTTTAGTGTAGGTAAAGTGAGTGAGCTTAAAAGGAGCATGTCTTTCTTGACTTTCAAGAAGTAGAGGTCTTTTATGGGGGCTATAGAGCAGGGCCTCGAATTGGTAGTTATTTCCAATTAACTAATTGGTCCAAATGTTGGCTTTACCATGCACAAAGGTACAACGGTTTGGAAAATTACATATTTGGCTCCAATTTTAGCTTTTCTTTTTTACATAATTTAATTAAGACTTTTAAGAAGTCTACCTCGTTTTATCAGGGTCTATCAGTAATACGGGGTCCAATGTGGTCAGTCGCTCTTCGGTGAGAGCTATGAGGGCCCCAAGGGAGTGAAAAAAGACAAAACCACATGACATTGAATGTCTTTGACTCGTGCTTGTCTAAATTGAGTCAAGATCCCTGAAAAATTAACCCGGTTAAAGTCTATTAATCAGTTAACGTTCTGAAATTTTTTCTACCAGGTTTTTCAAAAAGTAACGCAGTTAACCTCGCACGAAAGAAAATACTTTTACTCCAACCTTCTAATGTGGAAAACGTGGCATGAATTTGTGAGTAAAAACCCTGAATTAAAGAGAAGAATGGTCTCATAATCAGTTTTTCAACCTTATGAAAGTTGTTCATCCAGGAAGTAAGAGACTTCCTTAGTTTTCAAACGGCGAGGCAAGACAAAAGTCAAACTTGTGATAACCTTGAAATGTTTTGAAACAACAAGAAAATTGCAAGGAAGAAAACTGGAAATGAGGCAACTGAAGTTGAAATCTGTTAACCTCTAGCCAAAAAAGCCTGGCACAAAAGAGCAAGTGTGTTAAGATTTGCCCCCTAAAATACGACTTTAATGTACTTGCATCAAAGCTAGAACCCTCTGAATAAGTGCGTTCCAGTGAAGAGGGGTTAGGTAGCGAAATCTACCACTATGACGATAAAAAGTTTTTCATTCTCTGCTGTTTTTTCAACTATTGGCCAAAAAAGGGTGCATCAATTGTATCAATGGCAAATCACAAAACGAATTAAAGCCTATCTAAGGGAGATTTTATGTGAAGTCATCTTTTAAGCAGCATTTTAACATTACCTCCACAAAAGCACTTAAGTGACAGGTTCTAAGGTCTTTGTTTATGGCAAAGAATAATATGAAAACACCTTATTCTTTATGCTATTTCTTTATGATAGCTTCATTCTGTACAAAGCAATCCCAGAAATGCTGGGATCAACGCAGGGATGTCGAGAGGGGAGAGGTGGTGGTGGAGTACAAAGGCGAAAGAGTGGACATGGAGGAAGGCACTAGAAAAGACGAGAGATATGCCGAGGCACAGAGACGCTGCACTCTCATAGATATTGACAGCGCAAGGCAACAAGTGGCATACGTACATGGTGCATCTCAGTGTCAGCTTGGTTGCCATCTACGATACTAAGATGTTTGAGTTTCTGGCACAAAATAACGGTATTATTTAACCGCATTTTTATTTTCAGGATCAACCCCCTACAGAGGCAATTTAAAACAGGAGACACCATGGGCAGCCCGTATTAATCACTCTAAAACGCATCCAAACTTGAGGCCATATGTTGCTAATAAGAATACGCCACGTGCACAGGTCTTTTTCGTTGCACTCCACGATATTCCACAAACGGTAGAATTTTCTATTAGAGTGCACTGTTGACCTGTGGCCAAGGTTGGCCGGCCAGAAAGAAAAGGTATACCATCATATAAAAGTAACAACTCACGAAATGACGAATGGTTTCATTGTTAAATATATATATACAGCTTGAAGAGACATTATTATTTACATGCCATGAGAGCGGATGCTTATTAACAAGGGGTCCAGTATGTAATATGAAAGCGTTTATACAAGATTAAAGGAACATGCTTCATTAGAAAACCTACAACAAACAGAACTGTCTCTTCAAAGCTTACGAAAGTTGGAGTTATGCCAATGGGTAAACATGACGTATCATAAACCAGCCCAACGCTTGGAGTTGCATGTCAAACGGCATTCCGGAAGTGTTTCGGAATCTGTCATAGCAAAATACTACTTCAAAAAATGAACCTTGTGGGTCCTTCAATAGAGCTCGACAAATGAGGCAGAAAAACTTCCTGGGAGCTTTAGTTGGAGGCTAAACATAAGGTTACTGACTTAATTCTGTCACACAAAGAGAGTGAATTCCACCCATTGTTGCCGTGCGAGGACCCATAGAAGAAAATACCTTTACTCCAACCTTCTAATGCGGAAAATGTGGCATGAATTTGTGAGGAAAAACCCTGAATTAAAGACAATAATGGTCACATAATCAGTTTTTCAACCTTTTGAAATTTGTTCATCCAGGGATTTAGAGACTTCCATAGTTTTGAAACGGCGAGGCAAGACAAATGTCAAACTTGTGATAACCTT